TCTGAAGATGTTATTTTCTTTTAAAAAGATGTTTCAGTAATACTTGCATGTACATTGCCATGGAAACCTTGCCAAAAAAAAAGACGAAATTTTCCTCACGTAATTTAAACTGTTTGCACGAAACCCGACAATCATGCATACATTTGGAATGTAGTTACTCAAAGTATAACCTTACAGTTGATATTTCTTAGTGGTGTAAACATGATCAGATTATAGATTATAGCATCTTTAATAAATGGACATCTTGTAAATATTATTAGAATGTAAAGCTCATAAGAAACATTTTGCCCACACTCATAATTGTAACATGCATTCCTTGTGAATAATTCAATCTGTACAATACGACAATTTCATCTCTTTATTTTTAAAAACCCGCTTTCATCTCTCTGCAACATGCGGTACAAATACCAAACCAGCTCTGTGACTTTTTTGCTCTTTTGCTATTTTTGTCCAAAGATTTTATGAAATATTTTTCACAGGTTGAACAGACAAAGCAAATCAATAGAAGAAAATTGACTGATACTAAAGAAAAGGTTACAGAGTGGAGAGATAAATTTATAATAGACTGTGGAAATTAAATAATGTCACCCAAATACCAATAGAATACCTACAATGAAAGCTAGGCACAGATACTGAGGGAGATTATATCACTGGATTGTTTTGTCAAGTGTGTGCTGTCTGAGCTGAGTCTGAAATGACTCAGAATGACACTGGTGCACTGATTCAGTGAGAAAACAAGTCTTGTTAATTATGATAGTTAATTATAGTGTTTTAATGATGATTATATGTTAAATACCATCTGCAAGTTTTCAGTGCTGTCAAAGAGCAAATTACCATATGAATGGTGACTTTAGTGGAACTCTGGGGCAGTTGGCCTTCATCGTGTACATGCTGTCTGTTGTTCCACAGTCGCATTATATGAGATGGTTTCTGAATAACAGAGGTATAAAAACATCAAGTGAATCAAGTTATCCAACCTGCTTCTAACTTTTTAGTCAAGTTTGCACAACCCATATAGTTAAAGGAACAACATATGGCACAGTAGGTTAGCATCTGATGCTGAACAAACTTTTATTTCTGGCTAGGAAATGTACATTATTTAATTGGATTAATGAGAAACCCTCCACTGTAACTCAGTGGTGTAAGGACATAGAGTTTTTCCTATGGAAAAACAAAGTGCTAAGTGAAAGGGAAGTGACAACATTTTTCTGGACATGTGGCAGCCTCTGATGAATCATTTGCCGAAAGATCTGTTTGAAATTACCCAGAGTGGAAAGGGCACCCTGGATTACATGACTTCAGGCTAAGTCAACATGTACATTTTTTAATGTGCAAAGGTGCATATGATTTGAGTTGATACTGTTGTTGTCTGTTTTTTTTCAGGTTTGTTTGCGGATTTTGGTTTCGGATTTTTTGTTTTGGTTTTCTTACTAGTTTTTATTTCATCAATTTTATTTATTCTATTACTTATCTCCCCCCAGCTCAGGCCAACACACTTAGATGTACATATCGTGCATTGTTATTATGTATTTTTGGAAATAAAATCAAATCTGGTTATTGAAAAATAAAAAAGGGCAAGTGTCTGTTATATTTATCAGAGTGGTGGGCACAATTTTAACTTTTTCAGAAAAAGAAGTTAACAAGGTCTGCTGCCATGCTATCTGCTGTCTGCGCAGCTGTTTTCTGTTACACTTTGAGCTAACGGCTAGCGTTAGCATGTTAACATGTTCACAGTGACAGTGCTAACATGCCGATGTTGGTATAATGTTCAACATCTTAGCATGCTAACATAGGCTAATTAGCACTTCATACAACATACATTTGAGAAATAGGAATAGAAATGTTATCAGTTATGTATGTATTTAGCAGAAAAGCAAAACTATTGGTAAAATTGAAAATACCAAACAGTGTGTCACGGCCTATAAGACTGCAGCAAAGTAGGGGACAACATTATCTGGCGGCAAAGAAAAATAGGCTGATTTATTCAATAAAGACACAAGTCACCCAAGCTTCAGTAGAAAGAAACTGAATTAAAAAAAAATAAAAAAAGACATTTCATTTCACATCCAAGAGGCGTCTTCAGTTTTAACCAACTGGTGTAGAGTCTCAAATGTATATAGTCACCCATAAATCACATGGTGGCCCATTATGGACTGACGCTTGTGAAACTGTCAGGTAGGGGCTGATTCAAGGTGTTACTGATAGTGATGCTGTCTGGGAAGGGAACTCAGGACTGTAGTATAAATAGGTGGTGTTGTTAAAACCTCCCCTCTTTACAGATGGCTGTTGTTGTTCAGTATAGAAAGGTGGTTACAAACCATCTGTCTTCTCTGTCCAGAATGTGACCACTGCTGTCCTCAAAGGATTGCCCTTTATCCTTCAGATACAGGTGTTGTGCTGAGTCTTATTCTAAGGAGCTGGCTCTACTGCACTGTGCCATGTGCTTGTGGAGTGGTGGTTTAGTCTCTCCTGTTCACTATGTATCCTATTCAGTGCATTCCTTGCTGAATTGAACTGCATATATAACGTTGCTCATCTTGTGTGTGGGTGTTTTATCCTTTAGGTGAATCTGCTTTTGTCTAAGAGGGTTGCTGGGTCTGAAGTGCACTGGGAACTGATAAAGGCTCTTGGATGAGAGGTGAAATATCTTCACAAAAAAAGACAAAGAGAAGTCCACTTGCCTGTACTGAA